TAACAAATCAGTGTCGTATTTATCACAATTAACGTACTTGAGGTCCGTGTCGTGTTTACTGCATTTAACGTAACATATGTCATGTCCTATGTATGCCGTATTTACGACAATAAAAACACGTAAATGACATAACGCGTTACGGTTAGCGATGTTCACCAAAATATGAATGTTTTTGACTCGTATCCTAAACAATACAAAGTATTAGAGCATCTTCTATATACATAATTCTCTTCTGGGAGCCGCTAGAAAACAAGCTGCAAACGCGCTCCCTACCGTCCCCACCCCTACATGGTCTGGTGAACTGTGGTTCACTCATTATGTTTACAAACATTACAAACACAGCCGGGTTTAGTGACGACTATTAGGGGCAGATAATTTAGTTTGAAACGATTTTAATCGTAGGGGTGGGGGGGGGGGGGGGGGATAACTAAGTGGAGTTTACTGTAACGGAGGGGTGGGGGTGAAGGAGGGGGGGGGGGGGTTATCGTCCTTACCGAGCTACTTATAGTGTTTTAAAGAAATATTTTCGGTGGCAGCCTTGGTAGTGTCGAATTCACAAATTATAAATAACTGAAAAGTAGAAAAAACAACAACTAAATAGCGGCGTATGATATGCCGCGGGTCGGCTCGTTCAAAATATTTGATTCGTTTGGTTAGGCTATAAAATCTATTCGAGTAAAGTTTGTCGGCGGATATGGAGAGAAAAATTCTCCCCTTTCGCTAAAAAATTTTGCTATGGTCTTGCCATATACCCTCTCTAAATATTTTGGCTATGAACATATTCCACCCCATCTCTAAATATTTGGCTTAAGACACCAGAGAATGCATGATACCAGAATTCCATTATTACGTGTTATTTGTACCGTGAGCCTCAATTTCGTTTCATCCATAAAATAAAATATGCTGCTGTTATTATGGTGTGCAATTTCTTTAACGCATCTCCGGGGGGAAAGGGGGGGGGGGGGTCGAACGAAATAGAATTTAAATAGAAAACGTGTACTTATACCAGTGTCCGCTTACCCCACACCCTCTCCACTGGAACAATTTAGTCCACCCCCCCCACCTCCCCCTCCGCCCCCACCTCCCCCCCACATTCGATAAAAAGAAAAGAAACACACACTAGTAGTGTGTGGTTTTTATGTGGCTTATTGGAAATGGTAAATATAAATCGACCACCTTTAATTTTAATAACAGATGAGTAAAAAAAAGAAAAGATACCTTTCTAAACATTAAAAATACAATCATTTGACTGCAATACGTTTTAAAAAGTTCTTTTTTTTTTAAATATGTTACTTGAAACACCTTGGTGAACTAACGCGGGAGAACTGAGACTTTAAATCAGACTATTTAAAATAAGGTCCACGTACCGATGACTAAAATCAAACTAGTAGACGTCCCGGAAGTTCGCAGTGTCATTACGTTTCACAAATCCCAGCTTCCAACGACGCCGAGAATCAAACCTAAATAACCGAAGTTAAACTCGTGGACGTGACGTTCACAAACTTGCCCCCCATCTCCCCCGAGTGCTCGTCCTTTAAAATAGTTTTCTAAAGGCCGCCGCGTTAGACCGGCCTGCGCGTTTCTTTACAAGTTTTAATACGATTCGTAATGATGGATTTTAAGTGTGCGACTGGCAACGCTCCCTTCAGGGGTGATAACCCGGTGGTGAAAAGCACATTATTCCGAATAGGGTTGTGTAGGAATTTTCGCTTAATTCCCTTGGATGTCGAGCTTTTCGGTGTTCGGCGGTGACGTCGTAGGGAATGTTTCGTACTAAATGAGATAGTTTTTTTAGATGAGAAACGGTTTTTTATGAGATTGATGAGTAAATAGTTGGCGCCGTACTGGAATTTAAAATGGATGTTATTGGCTAGTAGTGATGGGTTGGTGACTGCTGAGTTTAACATGTTATTTAATAGAATGGCGATCATAACGTGATATTATAGATTATATTAAAGTTTTGAAACCTTTCAAGGTGTCCGAAAAGGGTTAGTTTTACCACGAAATTGAAATGATCCATGGTGTTTAAAAGAAGAGAGAATAAGTGACAATTTATAAAAAGATGATAAAACGCACCTAGATTTTCCCAGTGAATGGAATAAATATGGGATGTTAACAGGGGAAGTAATTGATGCTGGGGAATAATAGGAAGGGAATATTCAGGGGAGTTGGTGAATGTTGAAAGGGAATAATTCAGGGAAATTAGTAAATGTAAGGAAGGGAATAATTTTGAGACATGAGTGAATGTTGGAAGGGAATAATTGAGGGAATTCAGTAAATGTTGATTAAGGAATAATTTCAGGGAAATTAGTGAATGTTGGGCAGGGAATAATTCACGGAAGTCAGAAAATGATGAGAAGGGAATAACTCATCGAAGCGACCAGACTGAGCTCGTGCTACACTCCCTCTTCACTCAGCACACGAGCAAGTACTCACACAATGGGGTCAGATGGGCAGACAATCTCAACCTTTCTGGACGAGTTCTGTGCCCGCGGGCAGGCAACTCGAGGTTTCTGGGAATTGGCAGCGGCGGAAGTGCTACCAATCTGGAACGAGCTATGACGTCAGACGGAAATTCGCATTGAAGGCGAATTGGGCTAAATATCATTTTATATTATATATATATATATATATATATATATATATATATATATATATATATATATATATATATATATATATATATATATAGTTACTGTATGTGTATATCGTTTTCATGTGTATTTACCTCCGCGTAAAACTAGCAGTATACGAGTAGAGTAGTTATGATTATGTTTGGTTTAATTGACATAGTTTTAGCGATTAAATTACATGATTAAAGCAGTCTTCTCCAACTGTTTATCAAGCGCTCAACCATAACTGAGTCGTTTAAAAAAGCAAATAACGTCTATGTAGTTTGGTCGGCTTTTGTAGAATTTATATAGCATACATGATCAGTTGATAGTTTGTTTTTATTTTACTGAAATTGCTATAAACAAACATTTAGAAACAAATGTGTAATTTAAATAAACCGGGAGTGATCTCCCCTAAACTTTCTCGAATATTCTTATATAAAATAACAGGGGATGGGAACTCGGGCTATAGACATGATTTTAAATCCATTTTAAATACTTAAAGTTTTAAAAATAGAATAAAATCTCGTAGACAAATAAATTGCACACCAAGTGAACGCCAAATAAAAAAGCGCATAATAGTGCGCAATATTATTAGTACTTTTAAAATTTACATTAGTTTTTTGAGAAATCGGAAGTAGCGTAAAGTACTACTTCCAGTCAACGGAAATTACTCAAAATTTAACAGAAGGTAGAGAATTAGATCTTTTACTTACATGTGAAATTTCATTTATCTATCTGAAATAGTACTCAAGTTATAGGCTTTAAAAAAATTAAAAGTAGAAAAAGTACCACTTCCGGTTATCGGAAATCGCTCAAAAGTTGATACGGATCTACGATTTTGATAAAATACTTATATATGAAATTTTATCAACCTAGCTGTAACGGTACTCAAGTTATCGTGTTTACACACGGACAGACACACACACGGACAGACACACACACACACAGACATACGGACAAGATTGCAAAATTATGTTTTTCCGTATCAGTGAGGTGTAAAACGTCGAGATTTGTAAAAATCTCAATTTTTTTTTTTGCACGATTACAATACTTTCTCTATACTACGTATATACGAGAAAGTAAAAACGCTTGAAACTCGGACCCAAATAAACGACATTCTATCAATATGTAGAAAGTTGAATGAATTTGTTTCTACCCCAGCATGAGGTATTTGAGGTAATTGTTTACCAAATACAGTTACAATACACTAACCCTAACCCAAAATTTGTCGTATCTATAAACTTAATCCTGACTCTAAACAAAATCTAGGCAAAAATCTGCAATGTTATCAAATAAATAATAACCTAATCTTAATTTTTCCACATACAGCTTTGTAAAAACTAAAAAACCAAATTACAAATCTCCACACGACTTAAAGCACATGTAAAACGTAACTCAGTCACCCTATCCTGAACACTGTACTGTCTATAAAATTGTTTAGACCTTTTTCTCCGGGGTGGGGGGGCGGCACTTTAAACTTTCGAGGGTGGACTGAATTTTCCGGGTAGGGGGAAGACTGTCACTTGTTAAAAATATATATGTTCTTTAAAAAAATAATTGTTTCGTTCGGGGAGCGGTAGACGTTCTTCGGGTGATGGGGAGGGGGGGGGGGGGGCGGCGGCAGGGCGGGGGGGTCTTTCCTTCCCGAAGAGATGCATGAAAGAAACTCGGCTGTCTATTGACTTCAAGTTTGCATTTTAACAGTACGCCAGAATACGAAAAACCGCGGAGACTTTTCTAATCGCGTTCATTCAGCGACCGATCAAGTCGTCTAGAGGCGACCTTTCTTCGTGTGAGAAAAGTCTAAATCAACCCATTAGTGGCCGCTCCATGTGACAGTCTCATGTCCAACACACGAAGTTAGCTTTGGTGCTGAGGCACTCGAAAGTGCTTTTACTTGCTGGTCCCTATGTCTTTATACATGTTTTTTTGTGTATATATATATATATATATATATATATATATATATATATATATATATATATAATCTATAATATTCAACGTACATTACCGTAATTTACATTCCTATTGGTACCGATTTGTATTCCTTACTGCTACAGAAGTACTGCTAAGTTTTACAAAAGGATGTAGCACAATGGCTAGCGCAGAAAAATATCGATATTATGAGAATCGGAAAATGTTTTCAAAGGTTACAGTTCACTGTATAAAACAACATGCATCGTATCGAGTTCTCGAGGCATCGCACCCACTTTGTAGCACTTTAACAATCCAATAATCATATTCAGGATACTTCATCATTTGTAATACAGAGCTTTTATCCGGTGTGTTATTTATATAAACAATTCTCACGTAATTTTAAAAATACTTTTTTTTCACAACGTAAATGCAAATGAAAATAAAACGGGTGTTTAAAGCAAGACTTACCTCCCTGTCTAGAGTGTATCCAGTTATTTCCCTTGGTGCGGTGAATTCTACCGAACGATGCCACTAAGAATACAGTCACGTTTTGTACGCCAAGCCCATAGATAGGTATTGTTTCGTGTCTGCGAAAAATCAAACTTGATCGAAGCTGATTTAATGAACCAATCAATTTTAATTACACAAAAACCATCATGGAGTTGATTCGTTTGCAACAGCCAAAAATGTGATTGAAACCTCTCATTGTTTTTGGTTTCTGTTGTTGTGAAGTTGGAATTGTTGAGATGTTTTGATTACAGCAGGGTTCTCTCACTGGTGTTAATTGGAAGAATTAACTCGTCTACACGCTGGTTTAACGGCCGTCTGCCCGCTCACCAAGACATTATTTTAAACTGCAACATTTTCATCCCAGCACGTGTAAACACGACGGCGCGAGCCCGCGCGAGCATTGATGGCGCGTAAGTCACTCACCCCCTCGCCGTGCGGTGTATGGTGTCGGCTCACGTTGTCCTGTCACCACATGTCTTGTCTTGGCGGTACTGGAACTCTGTACAGTTAGGTGTTGTTGTCGTTGGTGGTGGTGGTGGTGATGGTGTGGTCGTTGTTGTTTGTGGTGGTGGTGGTGATGGTGGTGGTGGTGGTGATGGTGGTGGGGTGGTTGTTGTTGTTTGTGGTGGTGGTGGTGATGGTGGTGGTGATGGTGGCGGGGTGGTTGTTGTTGTTCGTGGTGGTGGTGGTGTGGTTGTTGTTGTTTGTGGTGGAGGTGGTGGTGGTGGTGTGGTTGTTGTTTGTGGTGGTGGTGGTGGTGGTGGTGGTGAAGGTGGTGGTGGTGGTGTGGTTGTTGTTTGTGGTGGTGGTGGTGGTGATGAAGGTGGTATTTTTAGTGTTGGCGTTGGTTTGATTGTAGTTAGTGATGGAAATGGTTTTGTTGTTGTTGTTAGTGGTGGTGTAGGTGTTGGTGTGGTTGTGGCTACTGGTGGTGGTGGCTTGAATTATTGCTTAGCTTGTGTGTGAGTGACCTTGGATGATGACGTCACGGACTAATTAATATGTATGATTACGTCACCAATTTGTATGATGACGTCAGTGACTATATAATTTGTATGATGACGTCACTGACTATATAATTTCTATGAAGAAAACACGAACATCTTTCGTCTCAGAATGATGATACATCATAAAATTCCCTTTACTTTATATTGTAGTTTTTTTTTTTTTTAAACCCTTTGTTTTATATTGTTTAAATTACATTTTACATTTGATGTTCTTTCTTTCCTAAAAGAAACAGCTACAGACTTTAATTCTAATGTTTTATGTATCATTCTTTTCATCGTCGCTTACGTCGAGTGCTCAAAGGACATAACATTGAATACATTTACCAAACGACGCTACAAAATTTCAACGTCTCGTCTGAATCTTGAGCAGACAAAACACGCGCAGGTTGAGTCGAGAGAATTCTAAATTTAAGTGTCACCCTACCTCGCTGGTTCCAATTTACTTTTCGCGGATTTTTCAATGTAAATTTGAAAGCATGGGAGAATTCTAGTTAGGAAAAGAATTTAAAATTTAAAATGTGACGGACAGCTAAATGTATGCGGTTATGTAGCAAATTACGAATTATTCATGCGATAACGCAATATAGAATTATTGCTGGCGATTTAATTAATTAATATGCATTGTTTAACGTTTCATGTATAAACTTACAACGAAACCATATAGATCAGGGGTTCCCAACCTTTTTTTACTCTAGAGCACATTCTAAAATATCGGCAGGGTCGCGGGCACGGGGTTGGGAACCACTGATATAGATGGATGTTTACTAGTTTATAGTGAGTAGGGTTTAAGTCTCAAACTTGTTACAGACAGCTCGGTCATTTTCAGCAGATTGTATTAACTAACAAGTAGTTCCTCCATCTATACTGGCTTAACAATCATTCTCCTAAATCAATGTGGGCCTTACAATCATTCTATAACATGGGTACTCGTTTACAATCATTTTCTTTAATTCGTATTGTCTTTACAATAATTCTTTTATATCGGTATTGGCCTTACAATTAAGCAAACAAAATTCATACTAGCGCCATAACAATTGTATATACCACATAATTATTGACTATCATCTAAACTAATCTCAAAATCGTTTATTGTATCTTTACAATCATCGCCAGCATATTGCACTGACCACTCAATCATCGCCAACATTTTGTAATGACCACTCAATCATCGCCAACATTTTATACTGACCACTCAATCATCGCCAACATTTTACACTGACCACTCACTATCATGGTCTTACATTGCTACTCACCAACTGCTATACAATGACTCACCGGAGCACATGCAGATTCGAACCTCAACCCTACCATTGATATTTTCAACCAGCTAACCCTATCAACCCACTAACTACTCGAGACGTCGCGCGCTTGACTATTCACAACAAGATGAATACATTAGAAATCACGTGATGCTACCCCCCTGCCCCTGGGCATTTAGCGGGGTGGTGAGAAGCGGACTTAACCCCCTAATGCACCACTCCACAGCACGCCATGTTACTGAAGGAAACCCTGGATTTGTTGCCCAGCTTCAACTTGATCTGACCAGCACCATAAACACGAACTATAATCTAGCAGGGATTAACTAAAACGGTTTTCGCTCTAAAGCAAATAACTCACGTTCTAAAAACGTTCTGCTAGGTCCGTCATTAACAAAAAAACTTAATCCAAACAAAGATGAAAACAAATCAAACCACGTGACGTTTACCATGGCAACCAAAGTAAATAACCAAGTAATGACTAGCGACCTCTTTAATGAAAGGAGATTTTTTTAATATCACCCTTGCACGACGGTGTAACTGTTTATGCGTGCATGTAACACGCAGTTACATCAGGCCGTGAGTGGACTAACCAGGCTTTAATTAGTTTGTTTTTCTGCCTGTTTGTCTCAACATGCCACGTTTTTCACCGACGTGTTAAAAGGTTGATCACGTGATTTTTTTTTCAAGGGGTTTCCCGCGCAAACGTGACCGGATATGACGTCACGGTGGTGATTTTGTTTCAAACTGCTGAAACTGCCGTACTGAAACATTTTTCTAGAGTGTGAACAAAGTTTATTGTATGCTCACACTATGTTGTTAGCAAATATATAAAGTTAATGAATCTGGGATCGATGTAAAAATGTTTGATCAGTTTTAAAGAATGTTGATTGTGTGGCCCTTTGAAAACCGTCGAACGTAGAAAGGTTTACTTTAGTGAGTTGGTGTTGAGGAGAGTTGGTGTTGAGGAGAGTTGGTGTTGAGGAGAGTTGGTGTTGAGGAGAGTTGGTGTTGAGGAGAGTTGGTGTTGAGGAGAGTTGGTGTTGAGGAGAGTTGGTGTTGGGGAGTACAACTGAAGGCAGTGGGGGAGTGTTCATCAAGGTGTAAGTGGGGGTGAGGGGTGAGATAAATGAAAGAGTGGTATTTCAGAGTGTAAGTGTGTGTGTGTGGGGGGGGGGATAAATGAGAAAGTGGGATCTAAGTGTGTATCTTGTATTTACACTTAGTTCACATCTCACTTGTTTTCTTCAACATCACCACAATATTCTCGTTCTCTGTATTTTCCTCTTCTGTTTCTCTTTCTTTTTCTCTTTCTCTTTCTCTCAATCTCTCTCTCTCTTTCTGATCATAATAATCACTAAGCAATTCTTCTATTTCAATTACCTTTTAAAATGCATTAATTATATTGGTCCCTTTAGTGGCGACTTAATTTGAAATAAGATTACTTTCAAAGAGTTGGCTCAAAATGCAATACGATTAGCATCAAATATCTTGGTTAATCCCAACAAAAAAGAACCTTCAAGTCTGACGATCAAAGACTAACAGTATATTTTATCCGCAGAACTGGCGAATATTAAAGGGGGTTTATAGCCTTGCTGTCGTAATGGATGCACGGGGTAGCGTTTCATAAGGAATAGAAATTAGGACGTCAGGTTTTGCTTTATGAGTGTTTCGTTCAAAGTCTTTTAGCGGGCATCTCTCTTGGGGGCTCAGTGCGCCTGCAGCCCACCCCTTTCCCCACCCCACAGTAGCAAGCCTGCTCACCCCCATTTCCCAGTATGAAACAGGACAAAATATATTATGTATCTAATACTATGTATGAGCTTTAACTAGAGTACACCACCCGCTAATTTCTAAGTGCACCCCCTACGGGTTGTTTCAATTGCTCCCCGGAGAAAATTGTCTGAAAGAAACCCTAATGTTCGTCTGATCAGATTCGATTACTTTTGCAAGGGTTAGTGAGTGGTTTGTTGAAATTTCGCTTAATTTAGAAAGTTTCAAAGTTCCTTGCGCGAGATCCAATGAACACCTGATCAAGACAAATCTCAACGAAAACGTCGACAGATTGGCTACAAAAAACATGGCGGGTGACCACTGGCATACCATGAGGTGTACAGGACGTGAAACACCTGGGCGGAAGTTAGCGTGGCAGGCCAAGAAATGCCAGCAGAGGTGACTTGGTAATGCCACAAGATAGGTCACCGTCTGGGACAGTTGGAGAAACTAGCACGAGAAATATGGGTCACCACTTGGAATATATAGGTAATCTAGCACAAGAAAGATGGGTCACCACTTGGAATATAGGTAATCTAGCACAAGAAAGATGGGTCACCGCTTGGAATATATAGGTAATCTAGCACAAGAAAGATGGGTCACCACTTGGAATATATAGGTAATCTAGCACAAGAAAGATGGGTCACCGCTTGGAATATATAGGTAATCTAGCACAAGAAAGATGGGTCACCGCTTGGAATATATAGGTAATCTAGCACAAGAAAGATGGGTCACCGCTTGGAATATATAGGTAATCTAGCACAAGAAAGATGGGTCACCACTTGGAATATATATGTAATCTAGCACAAGAAAGATGGGTCACCACTTGGAATATATAGGTAATCTAGCACAAGAATGATGGGTCACCACTTGGAATATATAGGTAATCTAGCACAAGAAAGATGGGTCACCGCTTGGAATATATAGGTAATCTAGCACAAGAAAGATGGGTCACCACTTGGAATATATAGGTAATCTAGCACAAGAAAGATGGGTCACCGCTTGGAATATATAGGTAATCTAGCACAAGAAAGATGGGTCACCGCTTGGAATATATAGGTAATCTAGCACAAGAAAGATGGGTCACCACTTGGAATATATAGGTAATCTAGCACAAGAAAGATGGGTCACCACTTGGAATATATAGGTGATCTAGCACAAGAAAGATGGGTCACCGCTTGGAATA